AATTAAAACCGAATATAAATTTATCATGTGACGCATTTTGCTTTATTTTCATTTAATTGCATTCCAAATAGTATGTTTGTAACAAAGGGTTAAGAAAATCACTCGTTCTATCAGTTTTATAATAATCATTCGGTTATGACTGAACGAATGACATTCGACGATTTATGTTTATTCATCTACCGACAATTTTTCTCAATTCTGTTTTCTTTCCTTTATGCGACATCGAACTGTGTTAAATATCCATCCCAATTTGCAGATATACCGACTACAGTAACTATATTTCCTGTTAGTTTACTTTAAGAAAAACGTGTCTGAAGACTATATTACAGAGAAGTATGATAGTATAATAATTTCCCTTTTCACAGCCAGTTTACATCAAAACCTTTCCAATATTTTATTTCCCCCTTTTGAAGTTGCACTGTACCATTTACTGAACTGAAATTTTACAAACTTAAAAGAGCAATAGTTCTTATTATTGAAAACCTCAAAAACAAAAATCTAATCGGACGCATATAGTTGAAGAAATTTTGATGTTTCATTTTTTGATTTTTCTCGGTGCGGCCAAACGTATTGTATAACTGGGAGAGAGGTGATTCCTTATGCAAAAATGAACAATAAATGTAGAATAAAATGTTTCATCCGAGGCTTAGTTTTTGGGAAAATCAAGGTTTGAAAATTCATTGCGTACATTTGCACGAGGGCACCAGCTTCAACGTAATAAAATATTGTTGAAATTTTGTCTTTTGCTTTCTTAAACCCAGTGCGCGTACACATTGTACGTCGCTCGACGAACTGAAACTTAGCTAGCTATTTTCTCAAAAACTAAGCTTCCAGTAAAAAAATTGGATTGCACAGTTTTCATTCATTTTTGCATAAGGAATCATCTCCTGCCCGCTTATACAATACTTTCAGTCGCACCCTGTAGAAGCCCATGCATATGTGCTTAGAAACTATTACGATCTCCCGCTTAGGCCGAAAATTCTAATTCTTCATATGCAGCAATACGTAAATCCAAATTCAAAGTTGAAGATCTATGCAAGTACTTGCATATGAATGGAAAGAACGTCGCGCGAAGGGTATGTTCTTTACGTTCAATTTCTTCGATTCGATATACTTGTAGGGATTTCGAGTTGCAAATTGAAGTAGAATACTCCACGCGCCTTTTTTCCAGCACCATTAACGATGGTCTAGTATATTCGAAAGCCAAACATATAACTGCTGAACGAAAGTAGATGTTTAGAAAGCCTTTACGGTCCGGAGATAGCGTATAGAGAAAAAAAAAAAAGTTTAAAATAGCTACATAAGCAGAGAAATATTTTTCCTCCGATTATTTTATCCCGAAAAAGTTCGAAGCGCAAGGTACTACAAACCTTCCATTTCATACGACAGAGTGAGGCGTGTACGTACGAGAACGATAGAAGCTTGTCGTCGGGGACCGCCATGAGCGTTCCGTTTATTATCCTCGAAATATCATATCGTACCCTTCGCGATTGTACTATCGTTATTTCCAGTGCAATTCAAATATCACGTACACAGTGTGAATCATCTAACTCGCGCATCTGAATATGTAACCCCTAAAATTATGCGTTCGTTGAAAAATTGTCGTGTACCAAAAGTTGCATGGTTTCAAGGGGGCATAACATAATGTATATACTTTCTTTACAAAAGCAAATTTGTTTTTTTAAATGGAAGGTTGTACTTTTTATGACCGAGTTCAAAAGACTGTGGAATTCTGAATAAAAATGTATTAAGAATTATTGGACCTAAATTCAATAGTTAGCTAGATATTTTGTTTCGCTTATCAAAGCCTTTGATAATATTGAATTTTTAATTTGACGTTACGTGAAGAAAATGTTCGATAAACGAAGAAAAATACCTTGTCAATTATCGATTTTTAATATATTGTCGATACATTTTTATTCCGAGTTTCATATTCTTTAGGACTTTGTCATAAAAAATACAACATTCCATCTGAAAAAACGAATATGGCAAAAGACAAAGGAAGTAGGTACGTTAAATTATGCCATTCTCAATATGTAATTTTTCAACCAACAAATAATTTAGGAGTTGTTCAGAAGCGCGGATTAGATGTTTCACCCTGTATATGTGTTACGAATAACCTTAAAACTCGCACTTGGAGGTAGAATAAAGGTGAGCTCTTTCAAAGAAAGTGAATATTTTATCACCGAATCAAATTTTTCTTACATTTTGTTTCGCTCATTTTTCTTCTTTTCTCTTTTTCGTCGTTACTTTGTTTATCATACGAAAACAAGGGTGAGATGATTGCGTGAAATATCAGGACGGTCCCGACTACGACCACACATAGAGGTATAGGCATAAGGCACAGGTAGCCAGTACCGCTATAGAAAATTTTCCAGCTCTTACTCGTTACCCGTTCTTTTTTTCGTTTTCCATTACTTTTCCTTTTGTTTTCAGTTACTTTTCTCACAGTAACGGGAATATGAGACGGTCCAAGCCGGCGTATAAGTGGACCGTACTACAGCAAACTGCTTTTTTTTCTTTTTAATTGAACGAGATATTCCCTTTTCATATACAAAATTACTTATGTATGCGGCTCGTGGTGTGGGAGCGCAATTTAAATAGGTACAATTCAATCTGTATAAAAAAAAAAGAGAGAGAGAGAGAGAGAGAAAGAGAGATAGATAGAAATAGATAGACAGATAGATAGAGAGAGGGAGAGGTGTGAAGCTGCACGATGACTTAAATTGATCTCCTTAGGTTCGTCCTCGATGCTTGTCAAAGAGTCGACTCGTATTATACGATCGATAAACGCAAGAATAAACTAAGAGTGAAATATAACACTCGTAAAAACCAAATTACTGCACTTTTGAAACTCAAGTGGTAATTCTTTGAAATTCTCTTTCTTTTTGAATCGACCGGCTTTGAATAATTTTCCGGGGAAGTCGGTAACGTACACTAACATTTGTTGCACGTTATTGTTCCATTTTATTCGGCCCTAAAAATGAATCATAAAACATCACGTACTCCTACTATTCCGACGAACTTCACTAATTGAACTTTTAAAGGGCATTACAAACGATTATTTTGAACAGTGGAGTGCGAACTTTAAACAACCGATCGCATTTACTAACTGGAAGTCGAATCTTTGTTTCATCGAGAAGTATGACTACGGTGAATTGGCGTAAGGTTTGTCGAAAGTCCTAGATTTGAAAGAAACAATCCCCTTACTTATTTCGATAATTTACAGTGTCTACTATATGTTGTTAACTGATCTCCTGTATTCTAATGAAATTTGTAGACAAACGTTACGCTAGCATACCCGCGTTTAAACGGCGATGCTCAGACTTCTTGTAGATCGGTGTAGCAACGAAGCTCGAAATCTGAACTCGAATCATATTCTTTCGACTGTCGGGATTGATATGCAACAATCGATGCACACACGCTCAAGTACACACGCACACTCGCGATCAACCACGCTTCTCCTAGATGCTGCGCATCGTCGTTCAAACGAAGCAATCGATTCGCGGCAAGTGACACTGTTCTCCGACAATTCTTCAACTACAAAGAAAAATCTTTTAACGCCGTCTCATTTCATCGTGTAACGCGCATTTCTCGAGGAGAGTCTGATAAGTTAAACACGGTAAATGAAGCGCAGAAGTTTTCGATCAAGTTCACTGAATTCGATATTATTGTTGCAACCCGTTGGAACTTAGGAAATGCGTTTGATATTGAATACTATAAGATTCGACAATTTTTCTTAGTGAAAACATAACTGTAACTGTTAAAAACTTTTAAGTAATTCGACTTCGTCGATTACCACTAATTTCCAGGGAAACCATTATGATAAGCAAAGTTTTTTATCCGACAACGAAATGCCAAATTGCATTGAAATTTAAAAAAGACCGGAATATCAAGTAACTTTTTATACATGATTCTCTATAAATGTTTACATTTATATTTGTATTATATTGATGACACTTAAAGAGCTATAAGATAGGAAAAGTGAAAATTTTATCTTAGAACGACAATTACATTCTCCGAAAAAAATTCATGACAGAAGATCAACACGTATTTTTCTTCCAATCTTGCCTTCAATAATCGCTACTGTAATAGCATATAGTATGTAAACAATATGTAACAAAAATGGAAAACAATAATACATATTACTTTTTTTCAAGTATCTTCCTTTACAAGAAAATATTTCGTTGAAATGTGATGCTGAACTGTACGTTAATAAGTAGGAAATATGAAATAAAGGTATTAAGGAGAAATTCGCATTACATGTGAAATGAGACAAAAGTTTGATCGTTGAACAGAAAATGCAACATCTCCAGCTTGTCTCTTTGTGTGAGAAATCTAGATGTCCAGAAAACACTGTGCACTCTCGAAATACTTGTTTTACATGTCTCAAGGAGAATAAATGTGTAGATATTACGACAATCTGATCTGCATGGCAAGATCAGCGTTCTACTCTAACGAAACGAACTCTGCGAAACATTCAAATTACTGATCAGGCTAGTCGTGTTCACAATGAAAATAATACTTGTCACTGGCAGGATCGATAAAGATAAGTATTGAAAGTAAATTCATCGTGGAATCGAAGTATAAATGAAATACACACATGTTAATAACGTCATCGTAATATTACTATCGGAAAAAAAAATTACTTTTTCATTTGAAATAAATACTTTACACCAACAACAATTTCAAAAATAATTTTGCGTTGAGATAAAAAGCAACGCTTTGTGTGTAAATGAGAAATGACCGTCGTATGCTTCGCAAAATTCGTATAAATACTTCTCGGGAAAAGCAAAATTGTCTGTTTCTATTCGATAGCAAGCCTTGTAATATGTGAACATTGAATGATATTAAAAAGATTAAAAAACAGTTATTACTTATATTCAGACAGTTCGACTTTTCGCGCGAGATTTTCTACACTGAACTATGAAGAGTCGTTTATTTTATATAATGTATTAAATATATTTTGGCTATGTAAGAAAAATATAAAGAAGGCTTACCAAACCGACGAGTAGAAAAAATACTAGGAATGTGCGGCCGAGGACCGTCTGGCAGTAAACGTCGCCATATCCTACCGTGGACATTGTCACAATGAGAAAGTAGACGCAGGTCCAGTACGAAAGCTGTTGAGGGTTCGTAAACTCGAACGGATCCCCTGAGTTCTCAAGCTGCGAACAAACAATGTTCATATTTGTAATTTGATCTATGAGCATAACGTTTTGCAATAGAATGATAAACAGATTTCTGATATGAAATTAAAGTTTTCAGAACTGAATAAATTTCTGCTTTGAGCTTTCTTAAAGAAATACTGGCGAACAAGAAAGGAACATGCTCCGAATCAGCGATTTAATTTAACCTGATATTTAATTTTTATTTGCAAAATTATTTAGAAATTTGTTAACACAGTTTATCTGCACCGGAGAATTTTGTTCACTATTTCAATTCTGTCTATCTTAATGGTGGCATTAGGTCATCCTGAAAGTTCTTGCGGTTTTAAGCCGTTCATTCTGAAAAAGTATAACTCCGTTAAAATTAAACATTTTTATTTAAAATCATTTCTATAGTGTTCCATACACTTTTGTCAACATACTGCAAAAGTATACAGGGTGGTCCACCTAACGAGACCACCTCAATTATTTTCATTATTAGTAGACCGTGTTACGAATCGCAATGTGCTTGTTGCGAAACCGATAATTGTCTCTCTTTTTTAGTCAGACCATTTAACCCATTTGCATCACGACTCTACCTATGCTACTGAGTTCAGACATCAGCGGCGTTCAACTGACAATTAGTGTTTGCCGCCCTGATAAGGGCTCAGAGTTCCGAGGCGTAGCCTATTTATCTCTATCAAGCATTAAGTATCTACACAACTAGCTAGACACCGCCCCGAGATCGGGCGATGGAAAAATTCAGCAACGCCGCTGAGCGTTTTCAGCGCATGAGCCCTTTCGTTACGTTGTCAGTCAAACCGAGCAAATACCCCGACGTCGACTGCCACCGTATCCATGGGGAACCACGGGAAGGCGGACTCACCAGTGCACGCAAGTACTGCGCTCTGATCCTGTTACAGGCGAAGGATCGTAAGGGAAGGTAATGGTTAGGATGGACGAGGAGATGTTGGGGAAAAGGAGCGGAGAAGGTATTTTGCTTTTTTGGCAAAGAGTAGCCGGCAAACCCTCACGATTGCGATCATAGGGCTGCCTAAGCTCAGGGTGGTGGGGTCGCTAATCTCAGCGGAGAGAGGCACCCGCCCCTTGCCATTGCCGCGTACTAAGCGTACCGCGTACCCCGTTCTGCAAGAAGGCCTTCCACCTTATTTTGGAACTTCGTCCAGGCCTGGCCGCAGCGTGGTGCGTTCGATGCTCAGGATGCCGGAGGTTCGCTAGACCCCGGGTGTTCGAAAACACCCCCCTGCGGTTCGTTCAACTGACAGTTGGCCCGTATCACCGCGTGTGGGTGATACAAAATGTTTAAAGCGGAATATTCCGCGTCCGGTGATAAATGAAAGTGGCGGCTCGTGGAATAGTCCGCGCTTGGTGATAGGTGACGATCGTCATGTGTGGAATATTCCGCTTACAGATGCAAATGGGTTAAGGAATCTACTTGGGATAGGGAGCTCGGGTAGTGCTCGGAAGATAGACTATTAACGCACAACAGTTTGCTATTAAAACTATGTATTTGTGAATGAACGTGAACAGAGCGCGAAATGCCTAAGCTTACTGATCGGAAAATTGTGTGTCGTGTCGTGTGGTGTTCGCTATTTCATAAACTACGCGCGTGTTGTGATTGGTGGTGTGAAACTGTCGTAGGTGGTGGAAGTGTGTGGTGTGTTGTTCAATTCTCACACGTCGCCGAGAATCGATTGAAAAATGTAGCGACTGTGTGATCGCCTGAACTTTTTGCTCTTAACCTTTTTTGTGTTCTGCTGTCTCGTTGGTGCGTTGCCCCGGTCAGCCCTCGCATTTCCCCTTCCCTGGCCGCATTTGGGTCCCTTGACGGGGGTGAGTTTTGGGTGGGAGGCTAAGACCCACTCACGTTTGGGCCTTGGTCACCGCCCAACGCCAACCACTCACCCTCAAGGAGGGGGTGTTTTGCGTCAAGTACGCGTCACCTGGGCTTATGGGAAAAACCCAGGGCCCTATGTGCCTTGGCTCGCGCGGGTTTATGATACGTCAATTGCTATTGAGATGCACGAAGAAAGCTCCAAATTCTCCGCTTTTACGAGAGGTTTGGAGCCCTCCTGACAATAAAGAATAATTAACGAACGAAAACATTAAACGCGTATTCAAACCTTAATCTCAAAAATAGCAGAGAGTCGCGTCCGTATCGTAAACCTTGTCTAACTTAAGTATCCTTAACAGTGTGTTTGGGGTGTCTGGTGGTGGTGTAAAAGTGGAGAATTTGTTCTTACATTTGTTATATTGCTTGTCGAAGGTCTGTTTATGATCTTAGGTCATGTGGTGTTCAGGTGTGAGAGGCGTCGAGTTTTTGGGTGTCGTAAAGTAATTTTAGTAAGACCTCGCTTTTTGGACGTGCTGGTCTATCGGGAATACCGATGTATTGCTCGGCTCGTCTGTTACGCATGTGACAACCGCTCCAAATTTATTTGGATCTCCAAGATCGTGACCTTAGATTTTTCCTATGCCCTTTTTTAAATAAGTTTTCGATGTCATGTTTAATGTTTTCATGTACCAATTTTACATATAAAAAAAATGTATCATATTGCAATCGTTGAATTCGTCTCAATGCCTGCTAGCTAATAGGCTAAAAAAAAGAAAAACTATGGGGTTAGACATCAAAAAAGTTGAACGTGGCTTTGAAAACTTATTTTTAGAAAAAGACAGAAAAAATCTAAGGTCATTAGCTTGAAGGTCCTTTGTATTATCTGCGACAAAAACAATTTCGATAGGTCCACTAATAACGAAAATAATTGAGGTGGTTACGCTAGATGGTCCATCCTGTATAAGAATCCGAATCATTAAGAGAAAGGCACTGCTGAAAAATGTGTTCAATGTCCTTCTGTTTCCTAAATCGTTTTTGTGTAAGGAAATTGTTAAGTGAGCAGAAGAAAATCAATCAGGAAAAAGTGAGTATCAGTTGGAGATAAATCTGGGAACTATGAGGGATGGGGTAGAATGTCAATGCCCAGTTGATGTAATTTTTGTACAAGTCTGCTTGGTAGGTAAGTGCGATCTGGTACTGCCATGCAAGACGATAGGGCTTTTTCTGTTGACTAAGACTTCAGTTTTTAGTAGACAACCTCCAATTTGTTACTCTATGACTCTGCAATGGCAGTAGTGCTCGGTCTTGGAAAAGTGTAGTGAATTCATTCCAAAGTAAACCACCAAACTGTGAGCATGATTTTTCTCGAGTGTAAATTAGGTTTGAATCGAGGAAATTCATTTGCGTTTTTCTTTATCTTATTGTTAGAGATTCAGACTTTTACGAATTTTCCAGAATTTTTCAAAGACTTTTTCAGAACTAATGCTCTAACGCTAATACGCTAACAGAAGTGTATCGAACATTGTGGGAATTATTTTAAATAAAAATTTTGTAATATTAGTGGTGTTATGTTCCTTCAAAATGAACGGTTTAAAACCGCGAGAACTTTCAGGATGACCTAATTAACGTCTCCAGCTTCTGTACAGGTATTGGTGAAATTTTCAAGTGACTTGAATCTTTGAACATTAATTGCGGTTATGATATTGATGAGGTATCTTTTACATTTTACAAATTCTGTACTTATTGTATATCTCATGCATTATAGAGTATATTTAACAAATTGTTGATTTTACATCACCTTTCTAGGCCACAGAAACTAGATTTGGTTAAGAAGGTAATTGATTCTTGTTTCATGTTACAGACGTATAAGTTTACAAAACGCGATGCCGAAGATATTCGAAAAAATAGTGTTTATAAAAAGAAAAACATGGTTTTATCTCGAACGATTTTAAGCTGACGATCTAACATCTTATCATCTCTGGGTACGTATTGTAATAGTTCACTCATAAAGGAAGTTCGGCAATCTGAAAATTTAAGGAAATTCAAAACTTTGCAGAAACGTAGTTCAAGTGATGTTAATAACGAAATCTATCGAATAACGAAACTATTTTTTGATTAGGCTATGAAATGGTCTTACGGGTGAAAATCCCCTCAAAGAAATTATAAGTTTTCGTATTATCGTGAATACTTAGAAAACCGTACAAGATATGGAAAAAAAGTTAAATCCAAAGTTGTACGCTTTTTGATATCACCTATTGCAGTGGTTAGAATTTTAGAAAAAGTAAATATTAAAAAATATTTATCGAAAATCCTTTACCACCACAATGTAAGACATTAAAAGCCACACAACTATGAATTTAACTTTTTTTTCCATATCTTGTACGGTTCTGTAAATATTCATGATAACATGAAAACCACAATTTTTTTAAATGGGTGTTTCTACCCCTAGAACCGTTTCATTAGCAAAACAAAAGATGATTCCGTTATTAGCATTACTTGAACTACATTTCTGCAAAGTTTCAAATTTTTTTGAATTTTCGAGTTACCGAACTTCCCTTGTCAGTTTAAAAACCCCTTCGAGACAATTTACACAGATTTTGAAAACGCATTTCACTCGACAAGCCATCCTATGTTATTATCCATGCTGCATGCAACTGACTTGGATGGTCTCTTCTTCGGTTGAATACAAATGTGGGGTTCCGCAAGGATCTCACCTTGAACCATTATTATCCAACATATTTATAAATTATATTTCCAATATTTTCACCAGTAGCAAATTTCTATTCTACTTAAAAGATTCAAAGGAGGCTGTAAAAAGAGTACTTAATCTTATCCTCAACGTGTTCAAGTGCATTATGATTCAATTTACTCACAAACTTGTGTAACTATCATCGTTTGTATATTCTCAATAATACTATAATAATCTACCATTAGCTCACTTAAACGTAATATTTACTTTTTCTTTGTCCTTTACAGATCGGTATGAAAAAATAACTAACTCGGCATTTAAAACACTTGAATTTATTCAACGTTCCTTAATGCACCATTGAATTAACTCTCTCCTATTATACTGCAATTCATTAGTCCGGCTTAAGTACGAGACTGCAGCAGAGATCATGGCTTTCAACGTGTATTAGGGAATTAAAAATTCGTGCTCTTAATACAC